ATAATAATAATAAATTGAAATTAAGAAATACGGTTAAATCTTCGTTTAGTAAAGTTCTTCATACACCTCAAAGGATTCATAGGTATATGTATTAGGAACTGTGGATATTTTGTTTTTATGCACGGATGGAGGTATGGATGGCGCACGTTCTATGGGTGGTACATTGTACTTATTCGAGCCTCCTCGATAGAGCTGGGCTTCTTCTAAGTGTCGGTAGTATGATGCATATTCGTGAATGCTGCTATTCGGATTGGCAGAGCTATTCAAATGAAAGAGAAATGATATATTAAATAATGTAGCATACTTTGTGGGGCATCTTTTGCCTAACTTACCGTATGGCATCGTAAGCCTCCTTTTCGTATTCTCTTGGCAGCAGAAGCATTGTATTTGACTGTGATGTCGGGCGCAGCAGCCGTTTGCTGCCCCAAAGCCAGCTCGGGCGCATCCTGAGAATGGCGTACACAGCGAGTACACCGAGAGCTACACTCAGTAGCATTCCAAAGATTGCTGAGATTATTATCGAAACACTGTTTCTCTCGAACCACAATCGCTGCCAGAGACAAGGCCTTGTGCGATGCGAACGGCAATTAAATGGAGAAGTCGTATTTATGTCTATAATCAGACAAAATACGTATGAAGTTCCGCAATTTAAGTCATTAATCTGTAGCATTTTCCTATTGAATTCATCAACTGAATTGCCATTATCAATCTCACGTTTATCCATGGCATTTGAAAAGTACACAATGCTCCAGACATCCGCCTTGAATTGAGACAATATCACATTAACCGTACTCTCGGAATCATCCACAATGGTCATCTTTGCATTGTAGGCAATGGTTGTGCTGCCGAGATTTTCCTTCTGGGCATTCACACAAACGATATCGTCATAGAGCAGAGAATTTTCATCGTTCTCTGATTCAGTTGTCACTGGTATATCCCATGGAGTGGTCAAGTCAGATGATGTCTTCTGAGTCGTCTCAGTGATCCATGTGCTTGGTTCAGTTGTCGGTGGTGCTATTGTGGTTGGTGCTATTGTGGTTGCTTCAGTTGTAGTTGTTGTAGAACTAGTTGTTCTGACCGGAACTTGCTGCTTAGCTGAAGATTGCGTAGTTGTTGGCGTTGTTGTCCTGGGCGGAGCTTGTTGCTTAGTTGAAGATTGTGTGGTTCTTGACATTGTTGTTGATACTATTGTAGTTTCGTATGTCGATTGTATATCTTCAGTGGTGTCATATGAAGCACCTAGACTATTAGCATCACTAATCAATTCCCGTGTTTTTCTTACAGACTCGACGCAAGGCTTTATGTTTAAGAGCTCAAACACATCCACATTGGCATAGCTACAATCCCAATTATTAGCTGCAAGATTAAGCTTTATACTACCATCTCTTGCAGCTAACATAAACTGAACACTCAGCTCTGTTAGTTTGTTGCCACTCAAGTCCAGATATCGAAGCTCGTTACTCAGATCAAAGTGAATACTTCTCAATCGACAATTCGCCAAGTTAAGATGCTCTAGAGCTGGCATATGCTCAAAAGCCTTCATTTCCACAATTTCTCCGATATTATTTCCGCTAAGATCTAAAACTTTTAAGTGTTCATAAATTGTTTGACCAAAGAAATATGTAGGTTCATATATTTTTCTCGTATAGGGCAGGCTTATCTTTACGGATCGTAGACTGTGCGCCACTGGCAATAGAAGTCCGTTACAGCTCAAAGATTTTCTCTTATTAATCAGTGTAAAGTTGGAGAGATGTAAGAGACCTCGAAGTGTTTCATTCGTTAGTTTCTTCAGCTTGGTATTAATTAATTCCAGATTTTGTAGCTTGTGCAAACTTTGCTGATCAAAGGTGCCGTCAACTATGTGCCTCAGTCGACAATTGCTTAACACTAGGCTCTGCAATGTATATTCGCCGCGAAAGCTATTTCTCTTAATAACGCCATTTGGGAAGTTATAGTTCTCAAGGCGCAGTGTTATATGATCCCGGCAATCCATTTTATTCCTGGCATGGCTGAAAATTAGTTGAACTAAATTTTGATTGTAGATTGGCACAAAGTTTCCATGAGACGTTGCCCTTGACAAGGTTCTTGCACTGTCCTCATCAGGATCATATGAGAAATCTATATTGCAGATTATTAAAAGAATAACAAAGGCAATTGCAGCTGGCTGCATTATGTACTTTAGCCACTGGGCTTTCCGTGGTTGATAGAGATGTTCGCGTTGCTTTCCAGCTTCATCGTTTTTCAGATCAAATGATTTGGACTTAAACATTGTACTGAATATTAAATCCGATGCCGATTGCCGTCAACCTTTCAAGTTGTCCACATGACACTAAACAAGATTCCCAATTGAATGGTTAATTTATCAAATTAGTCAAGCCTATTATCAGTGTTGAGGCTTATTACGCATTATAATTATTATTATTCAAATCAGATTGATTAGATAACAGAATTTCCGTAGAGAATTTGTATAGATATGTATTATAATACAGTATATTGATATGAAGTCAAGCACAGCATAATTATTGGTAATCAATACAATTAGCTTTAATTAGCCTTTATTAATTCAATACATAATAATCGCATTATATATATTCATATAAAAATATGCAACTATTCATTGACCTATTGACTTCACAACATAATTTAAAAACAATTTTAAATAAATACACTTCTTTTAGATTTGAACAAGTAGTCAAATTTAAACAAACGGAAATTGAAGTCGATCGCAGACCTATTCGATAATTCAATATAATATTATACAAAGAATAATCGATAATTTAATACTAACATTTACGTGAAACGACATTTTTACGATAATTTTATGCCCATTGAAAGGCGCTAGTTCATATACTAATTCTATTGTTTTTTTTAAGGCTGCAGAGCTTGCAAAACTGTAACATTTTAATTTTCTATGGCGATGATTTAGTATATATCGATTATAAAGCATTGGTATTTGCAGCAAGAAACCATCCCCATTGTTTTCTTTGTTCTCTCATCTCTACTTTCGTCTACATTATTGCTAGAAATAGTCATAAAAACAAACAATTTGAGAAGCCGAACATATCGAATAACAAAGCAATTTATTTTAATTGAAACCGTATAGTACGCTGAAAACTACGTTCTGAAGAATCTAGGCCCAACCGTCATATGTTCGGCTAACACACAAAGACTCGAAGGTATGTATTTAGTTGCAATTGTAGATATGTACATATGTATACATATGTCGAAATCGCAGACTATTTAAGATACACAATAAAATATACAAATAGGGTGTGAGCTTAAAAAGATATAATTAATTTCAAAGTTAAAAAAATGTTGTCATTTAAAGTAAATTACATTTTCTTATGAACTATATGTCTATAAAGGTAGCCGACTGAGCCGGCTCCTTACGGCACCAATTATCAATTATTGAAACCTTACATTTCAAGATAAAATTAAATTATTTATCAATTTTTCTTATCCATATATTTCAGAGTAAAAATGCCTACAAATCAATGGCTACACGGCTATTTCTCAAAACTAAATCCACTGGCCGAGAAGATAGCGTTTGATATGAGCGAAGTGATTTCTGCCTATGATCACGTTTGGCTAACCCTAACTCCAGCTGAGCAAGAAAATATTTTGAATGATACCATTATAAAACCGGAAATAACTATAAGATATTATAATAACTCGTTAAGCTCGAGTACACAATCGAGTACCCAATCTCGTAAAGACTCGGATCCTCGTTCGAACAAGAATAAGGCGACAAAAGGCCAGAAGAATTTAATATATGGATTCGATAGATTGAATTTATGTACATTTATTCAACAAAACGTCGGCCTAAAGATTCTCCATGACGAAAACATTGGCGACTATCGGGATGAGCATTCATTTCCATTTAGTTACAAAACGAAATCCCAAATGAATCTAAACGAACTTGGAATATGCAAAATAGTTTCAATAGCAAGTACACCGAAAAGGATACCACCGTTTCAAGCAAAAACTATTCAAGAAGCTAAAGCTCAGCCAGAGCTTAAAACAGAGCCGGAACCAGAACCAGAAGCAGAACGAGAAAGCGTTTATCAGAACCAAATAAAATCGCCATCAGGTAGGGAGGAAGAGGAGTCTAGGAATAGGAATATAAATAAGTGTACGGAGCCGATTAATTTGATTGCCGTTGAGAAGTTAAATTTACTATCGAATTTCGGATCTAAGAACACTTTGTTAAGCGTATCAACTGATTCAAACGATTCCGAAAATGACACCAAAGACCAGCACTCCGAAAACAGTAAACTATTGCCAGAAAAAGTGCAAATGCCTAAAGGATTTGATTTCCTAAGTAACTGGTAGCCTATTCGAATTTTTGCATTAACAGTAACTATACATATATCCTTACCTTTACCAAAAAGAAAAAAAAAAAACAATTCAGTCTGAATTTATCATTAGATATTATCACATAACGTTTTTATAAAAGAAGCCATGTTTGGCATAATCTTATTAATAAATAAACACACACTGCTTTATAAAAAAATATTTATACATAATAAATATATAACATCAACTTAAGAATACACATTTTTTCATAAACTCTTCTAGCAGATCTTTAAATACGAATTTTATACCTAAATGAAAGGTATTATACCTATATGCATAATGTATAGTATTTTTTGTTGAAGTATTTTATTTCGCTCCCGCTGAAAAGCTGAAAGCTTTGTAACTTCAAAAAGTTTACACAATATTTTGAGCTTAAAACAATACAGCCACACTGACAATAACCAAAAAACCAAAAAATTGTTTTAATTTGATTTAAGTAAATGTAAGAACATAAATCTTACAGGAAGCGTATAAAATAAAGACGCTAGACCAAGTAAATTACCCTAAACATATCATACAATGTCATCATGCTAAATAATGTTTTTGATTAAATCATTTAAAAATAATAAAAGATTCTATAAATTTTGTTTGTTGCCCGCGAAATTTAAAATGAACTTATAGCTTTTGAAATCACATCAATTATAAATATATTCACAATTTAATATGAAAATGTCCATCTGCGTTTGACAATGTTTTTATTATTGAATACAAAATCTAATTTGTTTTTCTTGCCGTCTGTTTCAGATCATTGAATAAATAGACAAATAGACAAAATATTCATTGCTAATTGAATTAGCTAGATGAGAGCGTACAATTATAGAATTTGGCAATGTTTCGCTATGAGGCCCACATTGCTACGAAAACCGCTAGATTATTGCCCCACAGCACGTGAGTGGAAACGTGTTCTACCGAAACAGAATGATTGCAATTGTATTTATTTTTAAACTACAACTAAAAATACATAGCAAACGCCGCCAAATGCTATAGCGCCGAACTATTCCAACCCCTTATATGCGAGATTATAATTGTTTTATGATGTTTGTCAAAGCGAATGTACACTCATATGTAATAGGCTGTTCTAACAGATTAATGAAACTATACTTTTATTTATTTTTGTGTAAAATATAATATACTAACAATTTATTTTATAAGACAAATTGATAATATTTTATTTATTATTCATACAATTTTTTACTATTTTCTATTTTTTTTAAATTTATATTTATATATTATTTTACTTTATCCTATTAATATATAATTAATATACTAATTAAAATTAAAATTAAACTTTTAATTTATCAATTATTACAGATTATTATATATTATTATATGTTTATATAGCTATGTCTATTTAGTTCTAGTACAATAGCGGTACTACCAGATTCGAATTGTTGCCTTATAGTCGCTTGTGGCTGAAATTCAAACGGTTCGCATATTCATAAAATGGACAGAGCTGGGTCACTTTTGCCAGAGAGAAAAACTACAATTTAAATAGAATTAGTCTAGTGGCTTGCTCTTGACCACAAAGTACTGAGAGGTGTATCTGTGTGTACATCCACTAATTAAATGGATTTATAGTTGTTTATCTTCAATGAGTTCATATATATATATTCATATACATATATCTACATTTGTATATATAGTATGTATGACAGCAAGTGTAGCATCAGCTTTGCTCAGATCAATCATTCCCCAAGCATTTAGCATATTTAAAGAGCATTTAATTTTTAATTTATATTTTCACACATTTACGCATTTGTTAATTTTAGTTTTTTGCTGTTATTTTTTTTCTTTTTTTAAATAAATTGTAAAACATTTTCGCGCCCTTTTAACCGGCTCATTCATGAGATTTACGAGGGTAGATTAGTTTTATGTTGTACAGCATAGGCTGTCTGTTGATTAATTGTCGTAATTAATGGTTGAGATTTGTAACTTGTAGTATTGATGTATGTATGTATATGTGCATCTTAAGTGTAAGTATATCTAAGGAAAATAAAAGAATGAATGGGCTGATTCTTGTTGCCCATAGCTTAATTGATTTCGAATTATTTTGGGCTTACACGTATACCTAGAGGATTAGTCTATGATCGACTTATTCCAATAGATAATAATGCAATAATATTTATAACTTCAATACTTTGGAGGAATGGAAGAACACATCAAATTATGATAAGGGGATGCCGTCAGCTTTTGGATAATTACGTTTTATCTTGAGGAATTGGGATCAGATAAAAGTCAACATTTGTATTTCATGTAAATGAAAATCTTTCTTATGCAAAAATGACTGGATAACTAAAAGTATAATAGCCTAACGTGTCTACCTGTTTAAATATTTTTTTTTTTATATATTTATTGACTTGAAACATTTAATGGTACTTAAATATATTCTAAAGTTTATTTAAAAAAAAAATATTTTTTTGTCAGCACTAAAATTTGGTATTTGAAGTTTAGGAACTTGTAATTCAGGCATTCTTACTTGGGATTTACACAGCTTTCAAACTCCTCATACAGTTTATATAAATCTCAAGCACTTTTAACCGCCTTCAGCCTATGTAGGGTATCTGTTCGCCTGAGACACTCGACTATACCTCGCACTTACTTGTTTTGCGGTGCAGTCGCTTACGATCATTTCTTTGCCGTGACGATTTATAGTGGTTTTTCATCGTCGACGTCACAGAAAAACGCTTTCACGCCATTTTGCGCGCAGCGAAATCAATTCGGTTCTACTTACTTATGAATACATGTGCATACGTATGTGGGAGTGTGCGTGTGTGTGTGTGTGTGCATGTACACATGTACATATCCATAAATATCCATACACATATACAGATGTCAGAGATACGCGAATGTGAATGTTGACGTGCATGTGTCGCTACGTGTGAGTCCGATTTATGAATGTTTCCGTTCGTGTGCCTCCATCATCGGTTTGACTTGGTCCAGTTAGTTCAGTTCTGTCATTTAGATCAAACACCAAAAGTTTCCGCGTTCCGAATTAATATTTTTCGCCAAGATAACATCAATCCTACCATTTTCGGACCGAGCATAAAAATAAATCCACTTAAAAATGGGTAACACAACGATGGTTAGTAAATGTTAAAGCAATTTATTCTAATGAGAATATAATAAAAATTAAAGGTGATTTTTGAAAAAAGTATTGCTTCTTGAATGGACAAAAACTACATATTAATAAAATATATTACTCCACAAATATTTCCAAGTTGTCCATACTTTATTCATTACACTGAAATAAATCATTGTATACCGGTTTAGTTCTCTCCAAAGATGTTTTAGTTCTCGTATTGTAATCGACAATCAAAAATGCATCTTATGAAGGTCTCATGATTTTCTAAGTTCGCATAAAATGCACTTTCTATTAGTAATGGATCAGTTCTATAATAGTTTATTAAAGTATTTCTAATAAATAATTGTTTCATAATAGAATGTTTACGTGGAATATACGTGCAGTATATTTAGTTAGTATTTTTCAAGTTCAAGTCGAAGATTTAGTTTTTTTTTTTTTTTAACTAATAAAAATAGTAATCAAACATTGCGTATCGTATATCGTAAACTGAATCAGATTCATGGAAAACGTGTAACGAATGTGGGGTCTGTCGTATAAATAAGTCTGAGACTTAGGGTTTTTGGGCCATATCTATGCATAGGCTTGGCTAATATCAATGAATTAATGGTAACAATTGATCAAATGGTGGAATGAATTTCATGAAAAATGTATTGAAAGTGAAGCATTCGCTGTGACGAGCTGATTAAGGTATATTATCTTGTCTAATTGACTTTGATTGAATTGCCAAATCGTTATCGTACATATAATCATATAAACAATTATTATAACAGATATAGCTTTATATATTATATATAGCTTTATCTATACATAAAAAAATATATATTGATATAAGATATACAATATTTCGAAAGGAAAGTATGAATCTTTGTTAATATTAAGATGCGGAAATTGCCATAACCCAACAGCTTTGACCTCACTTCGATATTTAGTGAAACTGATACAGACATTAGGCAGTTATACGATAAGTATGAGATCATATATGTATGCTCAGCTGCTGAGTTTATGCAATTTCTGCATTTTGACATAGATTCATGCATTCCCTTCAGCACTTATCACCTGTATTATATACAGGGTATGTGCAAGTTAAGCGCAGTTGAGTACCATACTCTTTTTTTTTTTTAATTTTTATGGCTTAATAGTATTGTAGTGTCTTTTATATGATATTTATATTTTTTTTTTTTGTAAGCGGCGCAACTAACAATAAAATGATATTTATACTAAATCCCATAATGAAAACGAGCATATTAGTTTTCAACTATTTGCAACTTTTCTTTGTCAAGGCGGAAATAATGTAAACAAATGTAAAGACGATAGCCATAACAATAAAATATATAGATTAACTCTGATTCACTGCAATTGAATTTTGTCTTCCCTCGAATGTGGCGCCTGGGCATACCCGTCAGCATATTAAGTACTTATTTATGATAAACCTACATACATGCAGCCACAAAATGCATCAAAATACATTTTTCTTTTAGTTATAAATAAATGGTAGGACAGAGACAGAGCCAGCGACAGAGCAAGTGAGATAGATAGCGAGTGAGGGAGAGGGAGGGCATAGAGACAAGCACCTTCAATGCGAAATTCCTGAAATGCGACAAGCAGCAGCAGCAACAGCAGAACAGCCCGACAGACAAATATGCAAAGTTTTTGATTCAACTCATATAGCATGTTGTTGTGTTCGTGTTTCTATTCATTCAGGTAAATCGACTAGAACTTGTGCCTGTTGCCCCCTTCGCCGCTCCATCCTCTCACCTGGCCATCTCTTGATCTGCTGCCACCTTTGCGAGAATGACTTTTCGCGTTTGCGCTTTGGCCAAAATTATTCCTTCACTTACATCCAAGCAGAAACAGCAGGAGGTTTTGTTGTCTGAGGCAGTGACAGTTTAGCTGCAGCGACTTCAAGGCACGTGTTGGCTTTCCTCAATCTACATTTTGATTGTCTCTTGTCTCGCTGGCAGTGGCTGTTATACAGGAGCATCTAGCAGAGCCTTCTCTAATTATTCTTACATTGTTGATCCTTCAGTTGRTCTTCTCTCTGTGTGTGTGTGTGCGCGCGTCTGTGAATTTAATTTGGCCAGAAAAGCTATTATCACTGGAGATCGCTTACATCGAATAACTATAAATCAGACATCATGTGTGTAAGTTGACAAATTAATAATCGTGTGTGTCTTCGAATATAAAAACTGGAGTTCCTCAAAATGAAGATGAGGAAAAAGACTGAGGCTGTTTATAAATTCGTTTCTGATTGGTTTACTGTGCGAATATACAAAGTTCCAGTCGCAGCCGAAAAATATTCGTATAACTATTACTAAATTCAATATATAAATATTTACCAACAAATTTCAAGACGTCAGATGTGTTTCGAAAACAATTTTGATATGCACAAATCAAATATCATATCGAGTAAATATTGGTCATATTGGTTGTTTTTTTCATTTGATCGTCATAGGAATTTTACATTTTTATAGCTTAGCTGCGATGTTTTCTAATATTTTTTGTTGGTGCAATATTTGTTTCAAACATATAAAACGAAATGTATCATATGATATAAAGAAAGGGCTGCCTAAATAGGAATGGAAAAAACAATAAAATTTGATCACATCCTTAAAATAGGATTAACGTTAATGCTCTTAAGTTTTTTGACTTAAAGATAGTAAATTATTAAGCTACACTCCTATAAAGAAAAAATAAATTTGTTTAATCATTTTTTCTAGAGATAAAAAACTTTAAATATTTATCTATTGTTTGTAAAAAACCAAAAACTTAAAAGTTAGGATCTTTGAAAAATGTTCAAGCCATTTGTAAGATATCTCCTAGTCGGACACTCACATTTTGGCTACAGCTAAATTGCATATTTATTTATTTGAAGTGCAATCTGGTCTTTATACAATAAGCTTTTTATATAACAGTTGTGATAAATGAAACGCCAGATTGTATTCAATGAGCTGATCTATAATTAGATTCATGCATAAAACAAGAGCAAATCCGATTAAACAAAATTAGATTAAGAAAATATGATCAAATTGTCTTGACTGTATTTTTCTTCCATTTCATTGCAGGACGAACTAACAAAGGAGCAAATTGCACGTAAGGCGATTCATTGTGAATCTCATTATAAATGAATTAATACAATTTTCTTCTTTCCTTTCACTTTTCAGTGCTGCGCAATGCCTTCAATGCATTTGATCCCGAGAAGAATGGATACATCAATACGGCGATGGTGGGCACCATCCTGAGCATGTTGGGCCACCAGCTGGACGATGCCACGTTAGCCGAGATCATTGCCGAGGTGGACGAGGATGGCTCGGGTCAGATTGAGTTCGAGGAATTCACGACCTTGGCAGCCCGTTTCCTCGTTGAGGAAGATGCCGAGGCAATGATGGCCGAGCTGAAGGAGGCCTTCCGGTTGTACGACAAGGAGGGCAACGGCTACATCACCACCGGAGTTCTGCGTGAAATTCTGCGCGAATTGGATGACAAGCTGACAAACGATGACCTGGACATGATGATTGAGGAAATTGATTCTGATGGCTCCGGCACTGTTGACTTCGATGGTGAGCGACTGAGAGGGATTATAATTTAAATTTATATGTATATTAATATTTCATCTTTATAGAATTCATGGAAGTTATGACAGGCGGCGATGATTAGGGTGAAGATGATGAACTGCTCACGGAGTTAAATAAATTTATATATTTACAATTAGTTGTATCGGCTACAGTTTGAAATCTGTCAAAATTCTAATAAAACATAAATTGATATTTAAAATTCATGTAAAAAATAAAAATTAAATCAAGTTGMAACATATTTAATATTTAATAAATAAAAAAAAAAAAAAAATAGAATAGTGAAAAAAGCGGAAATAAGAATCTAGAAATATTATAGTCTAAGTCTTGATAGGCCTACACAATTTAGTATTATTTGTATAACAACGTCGAATTAGTTTCACTTTTGGTCGAATTTCATTCTTCATCTCATTTTATACTCTTAGCAATAAAAATGTAAATTTGTAATACTCTATGTAACATAATATGCGTTTCAGTCAAGCCAACAATAGCTGATAGATAAAAAACACTCAAATCATCAGAAAACTAATTAAAAGTTCGACAGTCAAAATCAGTCGAGTCAATTCAATCTTGTTATCTCATGCCGTTCATTGGCCAAGTCTTGATCTCTTTATCATTAAAGCTGTAATCTATTGTTTATCTATTCAGCAGATAGATATCTATTCACATCTAAAGTTTCTAATTACAGTAAAGAACTCAATCTGAGTTTGTGTAAATATAAAATTGAGAAGAGAGGAATTTGATATCTATATACCCTATAAACTGAAAAAGCAGCAGGAATGATCGAGTTGTTGAATATAATATTAGATATTCTTTAGTTACGCTGGTTAGCTAGCATTTTTACCTAATAATTATTTTAAACTCATTATCAATTTTTCAAAGATGTCTTTAACTAGTATTAATTGCCCATAACATGGGCATTGCCACAGCTTCATATTATACAGGGTATATAGAACTATTGCCTTCTAAATCATATTGTCTACCTTGTAGTTTATTTCAATGTATATCTATTTATAGGAAGTATATTTATATGCCCAAGTGAAAGAAAAAACGATCCATCACAGGTGACTGCATGATCAACTTTGATTATAATGAAATAATTTGATGGCAATATCAATGGCTGTCAATCATGTGAATACAACAGATAATTCAATAGCATATATTGATTAAGCTCTGAATCAAAATGTGATAAGAATAATCAATACAGAATATATCTCTTATGATGACACCACTCTAGGCGGATTTCCTACATGTTAGGCATTATTATGTGTTTCTCTTACAATTAATCATACCTTAGAAAAAGTATGAGTGTTTGCATGTGTGTGTTTGTGTGTATATGTGTATATTGGTACATATTTATATGTGAATGGTTCTATATGGGTAAGTATATGAAGCTTATAATTTAAAATGACGAAGCCTGTATGTATAATATTAATTGTAGTCTTAGACTTATGAAGCAGTATCCTGTAAGTATAAATAAATTTTTTGTAAGCAAAGACCTATTCATATCTGTAAGTTTAATTGCCATGCAATTTCTTTCTTTCAGAAAATATTAGCTACACACGTAGAAGGCATTTAGTTAGAAAAAGCCAATTTGAGTTGAATTAAATTCAATATTTCATATGACATAATCAACAAAATAAAAAAAATTCAGTATTTGATAGACAAAATCGATATGTTACTGAAGAGTTTATTAGGATGAGTGATGCCGAATTTTATACTACTTCGATTGGATCATTCAGGTTAGTTCACGGTATAAATTTTGAATGTATCTTATATTTATGTGCATCTCGCGCCCAGTAGATGCCGGGTAAGTAATGAAAGTATCATTTATTATTATTTAAATCAACCACATAATTCAAACAGCCAATTTAAGATAAGGGAAAGATAAAGGTAACAATAAAAATGATTTCAGCAATTATTATTATGTGAAAAGTGATTATGGTAAGCTAACTACTCTTATTCAAAGCTGTGAAGTATACTTCTAATAAATGGAAAAAATATTCTGTTTTTGAAAATATGATCATCCATTGACAATCAATTATAAATGAGGCCGTGAGTGATATCACGTCAGGCGCTTGTTGTTGAGAGCTTGATTTTTCTGAACCAAAAAGGCGGATCTATTTTCCTTTCTTTCTGTCTGTTCTCACTCTTTCTGTGCTTTATTGACACTCTCAATCTCACTCAATATTTTTTGCACTCATTCAGTCTTTTTATTTGTTTCTCCGTTTCTCTCTTTCGCTTTCTTTGTCTAATTGACTGTCTCCCTTTCCGTTCTCTCTTCTACTCTGTCTGTGTTTCTCGTTCTCACTCTAGTTGTTTCCTTCTGGTCCTGAATGCCTTCTTCTCCCTGTCTGTTTCCATCAATTTCGGCTTCTCTCTCATATCCTTTCTCTCTTTTTTCCAGCTCTTTGTATCTCTCTGCATGCTCTTCTCTCTAGAAAAATGTCACTCACAGTTCAAGAAATCCTTTTCCAATGTATTCGTAAGCTCTCTAAATCTCGCTCTCAATATATCTCATATTGATAACTATGGCAATCGTTGAGCGCCGCCGAGCGTCGATCCGTCGGGTCCGTCACACGGCTGCAGGTGCATTGTGTGCGTGAGGCATGCGTGCTGCAGGTTCTGCATGTCGTATTCTGTGGGTCGCATGCAATACCTTTGCTCGGCATCGATTGGTGCTGACGACGACAATTTGGCATTTGTTTCACAAGTTGCAGCACGATTCGTCGCTGATATCCCGCCCCGTGTTGACATTTGTCGCGCCCGTTTATATACGGCGCACGGACACAGATCTGTTTAGACGCTGGCGCTAACTCGATCCGATCGAGAGTAAATTGGTAAACTTACAAACTCAATTTCACTCGTGAATATTTCGAATTTAAACAATCTTTATCTTATAGATATATATATTTTTTTTTTGTTATAAAAAATCAATAAAAAATGGTGAGTTATGCAATTGAAATACGAATCTAGAAATGAAGGCGCATCAAGTGTTCCGCAAATAAATCAATTAAATGAAGTGTTTGGCCTTGATTGTGATTGAAAATTGTTGAGCACAGGCAGAGGACATTTGTAGGGCACCCGTGTGCCCGCACCTGTGTCGATTTCTATCCACACCTTTATGCACTTTCATTTCTGCATGCAGTACTAGCCAGAGACATTCCTACCTAACTAAAGTGCGATTGCATTTTACGATTTATTAACATTAATTAGAGCTACAGCAAATCCTATTTAAAGAACATGCGAATTGACATTTGTGTGCCTAATTAAGCATGTGAGCATTTAGATTTATCTTCTAATTAATTTTCATTCACAGGCCGAGGGGGAGTACGACAAAGATCAATTGAGAAGTAGGTAGAAAGACGGAAAGAGTGAGACAGAGATGACAGAGAATGGAAATTCTATAACATTTTTTGGTATCTCTCTTGGTAGTTCTGCGCAATGCCTTCAAAGCTTTCGATCTCGAAGGCACCGGATTTATCGATCATAGCGATGTCTCAGCTATTCTCGAAATTCTCGGCCAAAAACTCGAACCACCAGCTGTGAAAGCTCTGATCAAGGAGGTGGACAAGGGCACCACGGGCAAACTGAATTTCAGCCAGTTTTGCAAGCTAGCGGCTCGCTTCATCGAGGTCGAGGAGGACGTCGGCGCCCTGCAAGCCGAGTTGAAAGAGGCATTCCGTGTATACGATAAAGAGGGCAAAGGCTATCTGACGGTCGCCACCTTGCGTGGCATTCTCCACGAGCTCGACGACAAAATCTCCAGCCAGGACTTGGACTCGATCATCGAAGAGATTGATGCTGATGGATCGGGAACTGTTGATTTTGATGGTAAGCAAACTGAACTGAAATAAAACTATACATATATTTATTTACAAATTAAATTCAATTTCATTCGTTACAGAGTTCATGCAGGTGATGACAGGTAAATGAATATTATATTTATTAATTTAAAGTGTTTTTGCATGTTTCCTGTTTACCTGAACAAATGAAAATACCTTTTTATTTGATACGCTTACCTAAGGTAGCGGATAATTTATGTCTAAGCGTATTTGTGGCTATAAATTTGAGATATACATATATGTATGTGTAGACCTGCTCATATTTAGGGCATTAGACAGAGTCCACCTGCACGTGAATATGTGTTTGGGGCTAGTTTTGAATAATTAAATTTCAAATTTTTAATTTTGTGAGGCATTCATAACACATCAAGCTAGATATACGATATTAATTTCAACATGTATTGAAGGAATTAATCGATGAATACGAAAATGAGAGGCATTAAAGGTTTAGTTTCAGGGAAAAATAAAAATGTATTTTCATACAGACAGGAAATTCTAAAAGGGAATTTATGAGTATCAATCAATATCTCGAATTTAATCAATATGTATCTTAAAATTCAGAAAAACTTATCTCAAAGATTTTTAAGATACAATTCTCAGAAGATTAATTTTAAAACTGTATCTCAAAGATGTATATCAAATATGAAACTTAAAGATATATCTCACAGATGTATCTCAAAGGTGTATCTCACAAATGTATCTCAGAAATGAACCTCAGAAATATATCTCAGAGATATATCTCAAAAATGTATCTCAGAAATGTATCTCAAAGATGTATTTTAGAGATGTATCTCAAAGATGTATTTTAGAGATGTATCTCAAAGATGTATCTCACAGATGTATCTCAAAAATGTATTTCAAAGATGTATTTTAGAGATGTATCTCAAAGATGTATCTCAAAGATATATCTCAAAGATATATCTCACAGATGTATCTAAAAAATGTATCTCAGAAATGTATCTCAAAAATGTATCTCGAAAATGTATCACAAAGATTATTTTAGAGATGTATCTCAAAGATGTATCTCAGAAATGTATCTCAGAAATGTATCTCAGAAATATATCTCAGAAATATATCTCAGAAATGTATCTCAGAAATGTATCTCAGAGATGTATCTCAGAAATGTATCTCAAAGACGTATCTCAAAGATATATCTCAAAGATGTATCTCAGAAATGTGTCTCAGAAATATATCTCTGAGATGTATCTCAGAAATGTATCTCCAAGATGTATCTCATATATGTATCTCATATATGTATCTTAAAGATGTATCTCAGAACTATATCTTAAATATGTATCTCAGATGTTTATAAACAGCTTTCCTCCATTAATAAATTACTTTCTTTAATTTTAGGTTAAACTGTTGGATTATCAAATACTTAAGACTAACTTTAATCCTTGGCTTACAACATGAAACGGATGAATTGGACTTTGCCTGACAATGTAATTTCTAATTGAATCTTTTGATCCAGAGTTCAATATAAAAAAATTGATGCTTTGTTTAACAGAAAGAAATATAAATGAAAAAAGATATATGTGTATTATTGATATGGCTAAAATATATTTTGTATAAACATTCCAGCATGTCTGACTGGGAGTTAATCGAAGTTAAAGATATCTTAATGGGTTTCCATAATTTCTTGGCATTATCTACACAACAATTTTGATTTTATAGTTTTACTTTTATTTAAATGATTTATTTTTATTTTTTAAATATTACTTGTCATTCCCATTCAAATTTTCTGGTTCTACTTTCTAATATGACTTCCCTGTGTTTACCCTGACCACCAAGTAAATCAAGTTTTTATGATTGAGCTGATGATGAAATAGTGAAGCATTAAGAGGACTTTCTCAAATTACTATAAAAAAAGCTATTAAATATTTAAACATTTTTTCTGCGAAATTAAGTGTAAAGTCTCTTGATTGATAAGCGATACAGATTTTCCGCATGCTTAAAGATTTTTGCTTGGATTTTCCACAGTAAATGAACACTTATTAATTATTGAAATTACAAATGAAGTTAAAGTTAAAGCTGATTGCTTGAATCATTAACCTTTTGTTTAATTAGACATAACTGCAAGCCATGAAATTTGATAATTGAACGAACATATTTTGTGTACAGTTACTGGAGGCGTGGCATTTGTTAGTGTCGAGTGACTGAGTATTAAGCAGTTGCCTCTGGCCTGCCTTAAATAACTTTGTATGAATCACAGAAATTGATATTTTCCAAGTTATATCAAAAAACCTAACCATTAAGAGTTTTGCTTTATCTCTTTTTCCTTCGATCCCTCTCAGTCTCCATTTGATCTTTGCTGGCTACTGTTGATTTCTGATGAAGAAATCAAAAGTATTTACTCATATATATATACATGTATTATATGTATATCCGGATTAACCGGAAGGTAGCAGTTCTTTTCTGGCGACAATTAACGCGACTCTCGCGACGACAAAAAGCACTTCCACATTTTGCAATTCCAATTCCAATACCAATTGACAACAATCCAAACCAAGCCAAGCAAAGGCAAAGCAATTTAAAATCGATTTAGATCTGTTTTGTATTGGGGTTTGGTCGATTTGGCGAGATCTGTTGTTCGTTTAGGTTGCCAACTCTGGCTTTAGTTATTAAGTTGTTTTTCTCTTTTGGCGTCCTTGACTAGCTTAGCTTAACTAGTTAATTATAGCGCTAATAGACAATGAGCTAGTGTTACGCATGCTTATCCAATGAATTGAATAAATGAACAATTTACTCAGTCAACAGCTTAGTTCAAGAAATATAAATATATACTCTTCAGTGGAGTTAATTGATCTGTTTTGTATCTGCAATCAAATTCAAGTTATATTAAGTAGTTTTGAACTAAATTCTAGCTAAAAGTTATTCCCGTTAGCCTATTCTTATAGCTACTTCGGTATTAGGTTAAGAGCACAAATTCATAATTTGCATGCGAATCGGACTTAGAAGACTTCGTTAATGTTGCTAATTTAGTCAATGCTTTTTTTTTTGTGGTTTAAGCAATTGTGCCTGCAGTAAGAGCAAATTTAAATAGCATTGAGCTCTGCACCAAAATCGTGATTCACAGTTTTAGTTCGATTTTTATTTTTATTTTTTTTTTTACTTTTTCGCAACCTATGAAATGAACAAAGCCAATAAAGTCTTTTGTTTTTCTCAGGCCACATTTGGGCGGAGGTGTTTGGCCGCATAAACAAAAAAGAAACAAAACAGCAACAAATTCTCTTATTTATTCCAGTTTCTACTTTACGCAGATACAAATCTTTTATTTGGCAAGCATAATGAAACCGAAAGTGAAGGTATTTTAATTGTGGGCAGGTTTTTCACTCTGTTCGTAGCTCTGTGCATATACATATATAGGGAGACATAGACTATATAACACTCCTAATAGTACCTAAGACAGCATATTAACGCATATTGAATGAAATGCAAAAGGTTTTTATAATTATTTATGAGAAAAGCAATAAAACACATTTAACAGCCAAGTGAAGGTATGCAAAATAAACGAAGCCAAAAAATTCAATATGAATGCCTTATATTATACATTCTTAATTAATACGACTTTGTCTACCAACAATACAAATGGGTTTGGCTTTGTCCCTTTTACTGCCCGACTGTGTAAAGGTTTTTCTGCTGTTGCCATGTAGATACTTATCTCAGGTGGTTTTGCTTTTATATTACGGATTGGCTTGCAATTTTATTCTTAATGGAAAAACTAAAAACTAAAAATTTCATTAGATTTAATATTTTATTTATTTTTATAATTTTCTTTATTCAAGATTTTTAATTTTAAAATAATATATACTTATTATTTGATATATTTATGCCAGCTATTGGCATGCCTATGAATGAGCCCCCGTTTGTATATTTGTTTATATTTAAGCCAGCTGTGAGTAGGTGCATATAGCCAGAGTCCAGATAAATAGAGAAAGCTTCTGGCAAGTATAGCATTATTCGAGAATGAGACTCGGAGCAGGAAACAGCTGCGTGCTCTGGAAAGTGGCTTTGCTGTTGACGCTCTGTGGAGTTGCAGCAGCTCATATGGAGGGTCTTCTGGGCGGTAAGTCAATTGATAAAGACTAATCCGAGCTAAGCTAATATTTTTCTTTTTCTTTTTGTATCTTGAGCAGTTTGCTCAAGCACCACTGTGCCGGTGGAGTGTTTGCCGGGCTGCCAGTTGATCTGTACAAGTATTCTCATTATACGAAGGTGCATCGCATTAGAATGTAGGCGTGGCTGTGTGTGTCCGCCGGGCTGGGTGCGCAAGGGCTCAATTGAGGGCGTCTGCATTAAGCGCAGTGCCTGCAGGCGCTGGGTCTTATGAAGATGCCCTGCCCTCTAGCAGCTAAACAATATATTGTAGCAACTGAAAATGAGCTGAATAAGTTTCACCAGGCAGCCTTAAGTCGTTCCGGCATTGACCTTGTCCAACCTTGGCCACTCTACCGTTTCAAGCGAGCATCGCAAACAACACCTAGACGTTACCTGTTCCCCCGGCTGAATGCACTCCAAAGACCACATTTCACATTTGACTGACAACAGATTGGCTGGGGTGAACTACCGATTAAGTGGCTGGGATGAAGCTGCAAATCTTCAAGTGTGAACAGACAATATATACTCTCTGTCTAGCTCTATGTATGTACGTACATATGTTATTATGTAAGGCCTTCATCAAATATCGTTATTTGATTATTATCTTTACCAATTTGTCGGAAAACTAATATGTATTACATATTCAGTTGAATTTTTAACAGTTATGTATCGTATATATGTAGTTTTATATAAAATAAATTTAATGACATAAAAATATATTTAATTATATAAATGCATCAAATTACATGAATTCATATAACTACATTTCTACGTACATACTTACACAGCACGCGCACGCACACGCACGCACACACACACACACGTATACAGAGACAACTAACCAACACTTGAAACACTTGAAAAAATACACACTAACTTGCCAAAAGGCACGAAAGTCTCGAAGGGTTACTTGAATTTTTGAGAATCGAGGAGGAGGGCATCACCAAAAATGCATTGTCATTCAATGTGTACAAGGAGCATAAATACGTTCCTAGTCACACACATACATACATAAGGGCAACAGGCTAGCAATAAATCATTACATATTTACATACATACAAATATAAGTGCATATATACAGCTGTATATGTGTAAATAGAATATGTAAAAATTATAACTTTCAATTAAGCAAATGCTAGGTATTAAATAATATCATACATACATATATACTTACATGTGTACATACATTTACATACATACATCTACATGCATACCTACCCATACATATCGGAAAACAACGGAAACTTAGTCTTACGATCATTGTCACAGCTTATCTCTGCGCATATCGTTTACGATATTCGAGCAGCTAATTCATTTGAAAATCTTACGTGCGTTGCATTTATTTATTTATTTTTTTCGCACGCATCACATTCAGCAACAAACAAAAGTTCACGAGTTCCGAATCGAAAATTAAAAAGAAAAAAAAGTAACAGCAATTAAAAATTGATTGAATGCAATAAAGTAATCCCATGGAGCGATGAATATTTAACGCGACTTAACATATTCCTGTTAAAATATGTACATATAAGTAGTACGTATTGTTAATGCTTTGCATTTCTCTTAGCTCTCAGCTCTCTTGGCTGAGAGAAAGAGCTTCGAGAGCTTTTCGAGCTTCGTGAGCTTCAAGTTGAGCTTAAGCTGCCCGCCCGGGGGCTTTGGCTATTGTTGTTGTTGTTGTTGTTGTCGAGTAACTGTAGCTGCAGCGACTTCTTGCGCTCTTGAAGCCATCGCGTGATTCACTTTTAGCCATTCCCCGACTGTTCGCAAGCTCGACCGCAACAGCAGCTTGCAGCGGCTTGTTTCTGCGCTCGAAAGATTTTATATAGTCACACGGGTCCGCCTAGTGCTTCAGTTTGGTGCTTAGACGCGGTGCGCGTGCCTCGAAACGCTGTACAGCAATTGGAATTTCGTCTCGATTTGTGAAATTGCGTTAAGTGGCCACAGCTAGAGCTAGATCAAGACCGCTTGCCAAACCAAAAGAAAATTCGTCGAGCCCTTTGTGGCAATATCCTGTTGTTATTTTTGGCTAACAACAACAACAACAACAACAGAAAACTAGTCGAAATTTTATGCAAAAGGCGACTTTGATGTTTCCCCAGTGCACTGTGAAATATTGAAAAAGAAAAAGAAAAAAAAAAGTAAAAAGTAAAAGAAAAGAAAAGTAATTAATTGATATATTGAAAAAAAAAAAAAGTTGCAAAATGGGATTAAAACACTTGCTTGGACTTGTAGCTGTTATAGCAATAATTTCGGATTTACCAGAGTCTCGAGCTGTGCGCATCGGCGCTCCACAGCCCAAGCAACGCATTAAGGGTAAGTCCCTAATAAAAAAATATGAAATTTAATAAATAAACTTGAGGAATTCAACTGGATTAAAATAGTAAAACAGTTTCTTAAAGACTTTTCCATACTCAACATTTTCTTGGAATTTCTATAAATTTAGTTTTTAAAATGAAATATCTAATTATGCTGTGTGCAAAGCAAGGTGTGAGTGAGAAAGATAGACTGATTTTTAATTAACATTAATAAACATGGCCTTGTGCATGATGTGAGGAGCACTTTCATTTTTTTCTTTGAGGAAAACAAACGTGGCGTATACTTAATATGCAAACGGATGTGTGCATAGCATGCACCTACGTCTGCGGTCATAAAAATAGTAGTGCGAATAAAACTTGTTGACAAACTGAATATCAATATCTTAAATAAAAAAATATTAATATTATTTGATATATATATTAGATTTATTCTGTTATTATTTTTGTCTAACATTTAGTGCAGAGTCGCACTACTTTTGTGACCACAGCTGTATGTACAGTATGGTTATGTACTTATCTACCATCTATATACAACATGTATGCATATGCACTTATCCAACGAGCATAACAAGTTATTAAAACTAATACACGCACTCTGTGAAACTCTCAAAGTCTCTTCAAGTCTCTCAGAGTCTCACAGAGTCTCTCGAAGTCACCGAAACTCTCTGAAAACATCTCTTGAGCACTCAAAGTGTCAATAACACGATTTATATAGTATTGCACGTATTGTTATATTAAGCCGTCACTTTCCATTTATCATTTGAATGGCATCGAAATCGCTCGAAATTCAAATATCTTTCCAATGGCAAAGTTCAGTTCAGAAAACGGGGGAAACATGAAAGAAAAGTGAGCGAAATCAAAACGTAGCAACAAGAAAGAGATGCCTGCAAAGAAGTGGGAAAAACATTAATTACAAAGCAAAAAAATGGAAAAAAAATCGTTAAAAGAAAGTCTCAATGATTAAATTTTTATTACTCTAAATACTATTTATCTGTGTGTGTGACTTATAATTCTATTGGAATTATTAAATTCTATGAAATATCTAAATATAGTTAACAATGAAAATTTTAATATTTTTTATAATTTTTCTCTTTATTTTATTTTAATATAAATTAAGTTGATTGGAAGTTAAAAATCCTATGTAGAAGCTAAAAATTGTTTACAATGAAAATTTGTTATTTACAAAAGTATATATATACATTTTGTTTAACTTGTATTAACTTCCTATATCAATTAAATATTTATATTATTTTTAATAAGTTTCTTCTTCAATTTCTAAACTTGAATTTCATTTTTTAAGCAGAGCTTAATATTTATAATAAACTAATATAACTAATACAAATTAAATCAAGGCAGTCTGATCTCAACTTAATCTAAAATTAAGTTGTCTCACAGCATCAGAGTACCGAACTACTCTATTAATGCACTGCACATCCGTATTCATTTTATTTTAAACGGTTTATATGTACTATGGATTTGTATCTCTCGATATTTAAACTTGACATTCGTGTGTCGCCAAGAGGGAGAGGAGGAAAGAGGCTGAGATAGAAAGAGTGAGTGAGTGTGTATGAGAGAGAGAGAGAGAGCGAACTGGCTGCATTGTGCCAGCAGATAAATGCAACTGTCAGTGTCCGTACGCTTGCCAGTCAACTGTGGGTTCAAACTACTTATAAACTTGCACATATATACATACATACATTGTATATAATATAGAAATATATGTGATTGTCATGCTGGTAGTGATATTAGTGTGTGTGTGTGTATGTGTTTTAAAGTAAACAAATCTCTGCACAAATGCATAATTGTAAGTGACACGAATCCTCTGAACATGAAAATCTCGTCAAGATAGCGACATTTTCGTAGTTATTGACTAACCAATTAGTTCCGCCTTGTGCGAATTATACACTATTTAAAAATATATAATGAAAACAAAAAATATATATAAACAT